TTCAAAAAGGAATACGGTAATTGGACCGCTAAAATTTTACATTTATAGTAGATAGACCCGGTGATTGGGCCACATTTTAAATGATTTTTTATTATTGAATCCGGTAATTGGATTACTTTATTTTAAAAAAAAATTTTAGATTTGAAAAAAGGCCTATTTAAAACATATGTATAAACCTCTATTTAACAACTATTTTAAACCATATTATTATTTATTCCACACATACAAATTAAAATTTCTTATATGTTCGTTATAATCAAATTATGTTGACTGCACTTTTGAACACTGTGCAAAGCAATCTGTATCATATTATTTTTGAAAAAATTATAATTATTTGTCTTATTTTATATTTATTGAAGAAAAAAAAATTGAATGTAATCACTATCGTGTATGAGAAAAAAAGTAAAATTATTTAACTAATTTTTTAGATATTATTTTATGCATTTTAATATATTTAAAATTATAAATTGTTGTGTTAAATTTGTTACATTTGTGGCACAATACCCAGGTAATAAAATGTAGAAAAATGTCGTTTACGAAGCAGTAAATAAAATTTGGCCCGATTCCCGACCACCCTATCAATGTATTGTTATACATACGCAATACTCTGAAGTACCTAAAATGTTACCTATAGCTACGTAGCACTATATTACTATGTAAGCTACGTACTAAATATACTTAATCGTATTATAGTATAAACATACAGTGTTTATATATAAAAAAAAAATATATATATATACACATATCATTACAATTTATTATAATCATTATTTTACGATTCGCTGAAATGATATTATTTATCCAACCGTCCCGAGTACGTAGCTAATTCGATCGCGTCCGATTCGATCAAAATAATAATTATGTTTGCATTATGTGCAACGGTAAACATTATATTATTTATGCGGCACAATAATACATTATATTATGTACACGTATCGATCGTAAAACACTTTCCGACAGCAAACAATAATGCTACTGTGTACCTCCCCACAATTCCATCACTGTATAGTAATATGTGTTACGATAAAATCATTGTCTACTGAAAACATTCCATATTTACGCCGTAGCTACTTAATCGATGGTTCCTAGGATAAATTTATTTCAAATTCTTTCCAAGATGCAAACCATTGACATTTAATGTGGCCAATCAATCCCAAGTTTCAAATCGAAAAAATGCACGTATAATATTATAGTTTCCCTTAAAATGCAATACCTATTATAAGTAATATGAATTACAATTAAAAAGCTACAATTTTGATGCCCCGGAGTAACTACCTCCCTTTCGTTATTATAACTACATCGTCGCCACTAACTTATATAATAATATAATATATCCATGATCTATCCCGGCCTTTGTACATTTTCATCCGTAGACGCCCGTCAGCAAAATATCGAATAAAAAATAAATCGAATCTACATATTATTAAAACCATATACTCTTAACCTACAGGTAGTTTTAGGGTTTATAGTTACTATGTACCTGGTACATATTTATTATTAATAAAAAAAAAAAGTAGCATATTGCTTATGAATAGACCACAATTGTAGGTGAGTAGTTGAGAAGGTATAAAAATAGAATATAGAATAATGTATAGTTTATATTACACTGAAAACAAAGATAAATTAAAAAATCCATTCTAAGATCTCGGTAAACTGAGAAGGTTAGATAAGATAACGTGTGTAACCGTTATTATACTCAGAATCTACAATAATATAATAATAAGCAGCCTGCTAATCTGATAAAAGAAATTATATCACCTTTAAACAAATTTTCGGGTCCGGGCATACCTGGGCCGAAAAAAACGGTTTGACTCGTTACATGACAGTATGTTGTAAACAGTTATACGTGTTTGGGCTAATGATAATAATATTAGTATTATGATCGCTGTAGAAGAGACGGTTTGCAGTTGCAGTTGCAGGTGAACAAATCGAGGGGAAAACGTGTGTAACAAAAAAAAAAAAATACAAAAACAGCTGAAATTTGGTTCCGCATCCGTTTCGCCGATGATGACTGCCCGAAGCTTACACAGTATAAGTGTACTGTATAATATACTATAACAGTGTTATATCTAAACTCAATATAATATGTAAATCGAAAATATAATCATAATTTATATGTATATCGTATTTTTTACCTTTAAATATAAAACCGGTCGGATAAAAAATAAACGATAGTGCGACGTAGGGATAGACAGAGACCGGTATAACGGCCGTGTTCGTGTAAAATATTTAGATAAAAGTATCTAACATATTTATAAATAAAATCCAAAGACTTTTCAAGTACCTACATATATTATACAATAACACGACGATTGATTTAAAAATGAAGTACAGTTCTACTATAAAAATAAAATTGATACTACTGATGGGCGTGCCACTTTTATACGTAGAAAGTTTGTTAGGTAGGATACATATTATAGAGTAATTTAATTTATACCTGTAACCAACGATAAATCATTGCTAATGAAAAATTATTCTGAGCAAAGTGTTATTAATCGTATTTGTTCCCTTGTTGTCAAGGTAACCCATAAATCAACAAAATCATACAACCAATTGCCTGTTTTTCTCATTTATTAAAAAAAAACTACAAAACAAAACGAAAATTAACTCCTCATTAGTTGGTATACATTAATGCGCCGACCAAATCGAAAACGCTACAAGAAAGTTCCTATGAAGTTTTAGATTGGAGTAAGATTCTGGTAGAACAGTTGTTTACAGGCAAAAAAAAGTACGGATTATAGTAAAACCCATACATTCGTCGTTGCGCTCAGCATTTAAATGAAATGAACTATATAATATTAGGTGTATCATATTATAGTGTACCAAAATTATAAAATCGTATTGAAAAATTATTGGTTACAATATCGAGGTGCCGACGTCGTTCACGTTCGCAATTTCCCAATTACAATTTGTCTGCAACTTATTATACCTATATAATATTATAACAGAATCTTTTCGTTTGATTCCTCCGCATCCAAAGTCCGTCGATCGTAATGTATAACGGCAAAACAAAAAAAAAAATTCAAATTTATAGCCACCGGAATATGGCTATGAAATTCATACGACGACGACAAGCGATATTTAAAACGATCGTTTCGATATTATATTACCTACCTGTATTTAAATCGCGATCGCAAGCAATAGACACGATAACGCGTTATAATTAAATATATCTACGTTGTTTTTGTTTTTTGTTTTTTTTATTAGAATTTTCATAGCATTGGTTTTTGCATGTTTTATTATTCGGTTCTTATAGGCTTGAATCTTATCTCGTGTTTGTCTTACACCGCAGTACGTAAATCGCGATTGACGACCTCGTCCCCGTAGGTATTATTTGTACATTTTAGAAGTTTAGTGATTTTTAACGGTAAATTCTCAGAAAAAAAAAATTAAAATTAAAATTCTTTCGGCGAATCATTTTTTTTATTGCGTACCTACGATAATATTATTATTTTGATTTTTACAACTTCCTTAAACGAATAAATAATTATATTAAACCTGATAAACTTGTGGTGCCCTCTCAAGACAATTCCTAGGTACCTGTTTTTTCTTTCTTTTTTTTATTACGTCTCATGGTGCCGTTAAAAGAGAAGAAAAAACTTATTTACTATACAAGGTGATTTTTTTAGATTCTGAGCGGAGCAAGAAATGTATTAGGTTTTACAATGATGTGTTTTTTTGTTTTTTTTTCATATCGTGTGCAAAAATTTTACTAGAAATCTTGTTCCGTATGACGTATTTGTGACACCTTTTATGCAAAGAAATTTTGTCTAAATGATACTTTAAGGAGATCATTTTTTAATTTTCTAAGCGGTTATCATAATGTATGGGAAAACCTGGGATAAAAAAAAGAAAAACGGAAAAATTTACGAAAATAATACTTGTATTATTTTTATGTTGTAATTCAGTTCAAAATGTTCGTAGACTTGAAATTTAGACAATAAACATAAATTTGTCTCTTCTAGAATTTTCAAAACATTTAAGCCAGTTTTGAGCTATTTAAAGTAATTTTAAATTTGCAATGTTTAACAATTTTTATTTGGTAGGTACTCTGTGCATACAATTTTTAGACCAAACAAAAATGCTTGAAAATTTAACATGAGGTGCATTATAATTTAGTAGTCAACAAATGTTGACAAAAGTTAACAATTTAATAAGTACGAACAAATTCATTTAAATTTTAAAGCAATAGATTTTAACGAGAACGATGTTTGTCCGAACCTGATAATGCTGTCCTTAGTACTTATAGCGTTTTAAGTGTAAACTTAAACGTTATTACTACTTAATTGACGAAAAGTCACCACGCACAAAGCGTGACAAAGTAGAAGGGCAAAACTTAACTAACTCTTTGTCGAATCTTTATGATTATCCATAAAAATTAGAATTTTAAGTCTAAAACTTTATAGTTGAAAAACCACGACAGGATTAGATAAAGCAATAAAATAAAATAAAAACAAAAATGCAAGTAATTTGTTCTATAATTGTCACTTCGAACCCGACAACGTTGATTATTTAGATACCACGTTAATCCATCAAACAGACTGTTTCCTGACTCTTATGATAAAGCACTTAGTTAAAATAGTAACTGCGTGAATTGGGGTTATTTTGTATGTATTGCCGAGACCATTAACATTTATGCTAATTAACTATATAAATCAGATCCCTGATATACGTCATCGAAAAATAATGATATACCGAATACGTTTTTCTTTAATATGTTGCGTCTACGCTTTTCGGCGTTACACTACTATAATACACCGCACAGTATACGACTTCCGCTCTTTTCGGGGGAAGGGAGAGAAGGAAGAGGTCTTTGGTACATCGTTCGCGCACGTGTGATACGTATTATAGATATAAGTTTACTTTACGCGTATGAAATTACTATATACGGCAGCAGCAGCAGCAGCAGCAGCGCACACGTCACAATAGTAATAATACAAAATACAATCGCTTCGTCTAGCAAGTAGAACGCGGGCGCGAGCCGTCTGGTTACAATAATATTATAGCCGGAGACCCCAAAAGTCCAGGTGCACCTCGTCCGACAGGGAGGCAGCTGCGGCTACGTACCCCGCGTCGCAGTAAACGGGCAGCACACGCACGCGGCACACGTCGTCGTATCCCTCAACTCGGATTTCCTTTGTACGAGACTCGGTACCTCTAATCGCACCGGGTCTAGAAATAATAAAATATAATGATAATATGGCGCGCGTACGAGCAGGTATATCAGTATATGTATATTATACAGAGTGATAAACATTATGTAATATAAATTCATTATACCTCGGAAAATAATAACTTTTTTTGAAATTTGTTTTTTTTTTTTTTTAAGAACAAACCAGCTTTAAAGTGTAATATTACCGTTATCTGTCGTCACTCATATTTTGGGGCGAAACCATTACACCAGCTTTTGATCAATAATAATGATTGTATAGCAACCAATGTATAAATTAAAAATTCCACTTATTAAAGAAGTTTTAGTTTAAATACATTTTGGCATAAAATTTTTAATTTCCGTCAAACCCTCCACAAAACATTCTACTGTTCTGAGAGTAGGAGTTTAATAGTGGAGATTTCCGAGATACGAGATGTGGCTATTAAATAATGAGACTGGTTACGAAAAAGTGTTTTGTTATAAAAATTATTCTACATTCAAATGCTCCCCTTCAATATACTCCCCTCTCCTCGCCACACACCTTTCCATACGTTTTTTCCATTGATCAAAGCTGTGCTGGAAGTCTTCTTTGGTGAGGGCCTTTAGGAGCTCTGCCATTTTTTGCTTTACCGCTTCCTTCGACTCAAATCGGGTCCCTTTCAAAGCAGATTTTATCTTTGGAAACAAAAAAAAGTCGCACGGTACCAAATCTGGCGATTACGGCACGTGTTCGAGCACTGGAGTGCGCTTACCGGCCAAATACTGCTTTACAGATAGCGCATTATGGGCAGGTGCGTTGTCCTGGTGCAAAATCCACGAGTTGTTCTTCCACAACTCGGGCCGTTTCTTACGAACTCTTTCTCGCAGTGTTGCCAAAACTGATAAATAGTAAATCTGGTTGACAGTCTGATCCTCTGGAACCCATTCAGTCATNTTGCCTTAAATTTTGATTTGGACATCCTTGCTTTTTTGATTCTGGGCAATTCAGGTGTCTTCCAATGCATCGATTGTCGCTTTGTTCCAACATCGTATTGAAAAATCCATGTTTCGTCGCAAGTTATAATGTTTTTCATCAGTCCGGGATCTTCTTTTAACTTTTCAAGGAAATCTGAGCAGACCTGTTGACGCAAGAACTTTTGGTCAGGAGTCAGGTTTTTTGGCACCAACATCGCACAGACTTTTGTCATATGTAATTCCTCATGTAAAATTTTTCTTACCATTTCTTTATCGGCGTTTACAGCCTCGGCAACCATCCGGATGCTCATTCGACGATCTGCACGCATAATTTGGTTGATTTTGGTCACTGTTTCCGGAGTTGAAACAGTGACAGGGCGACCTGGGCGCTGGTCATCTTCAGTGCTCTCTCGGCCCTCATTGAAGCGCTTATACCACTCAAAAACACGTGCACGAGATAGAGAATTGCTTCCATAGGCCTCTTGCAACAATTTATAGCACTCGGTCGGAGTTTTTTTCAATTTAACGAGAAATTTGAGATTGATACGTTGCTCATGTTTTTCGTCACACATGGTTTTCGGCACGAGAAAAAAACACGTTCGTTTCCAATCATTACTGCACAAATACTATAATAGTGACAAAAACGTGTTTTGGTACGTACATAGATAAGATATCTAGATACCCAACGCATTACTTGTTTTTTTCACTACCCATCTAGGGCGCCCTCTAGACGAGCAGTCTCATTATTTAATAGCCACACCTCGTATAATAAGTATCTTACGTTATGTCGACCACTCTGTATGTATAGGCCCGGGTGCATAATATTCGTAATATTATTATTTGTATTTACAAGTTATATCGGCCGGTCGCGTAGTTGCCGCCCGCGGAAGTAGGCAGGCCGTCCCCGCGGTGTCGGGGCCGGAACACATGTCGGCACGCGACCCGAACCGGTCGCGTTCGCATTTGCGCGCGACGACGACACGTGTAGAAAAAAAAATACGGTACTTCGTATTAAAATATAATACACCGCTCATAAAATATTATAATAGGTAGGAGGCGGATAGGTGACATTGTTTTTTCGTCGGACGTGCAGCTGCAAAGGCCTCGGTGCAGCATATTATTTGATATAATATACAGGTAAGTATAATATAGTGACAGCTATACGGTGGCTGTTTCGCAATCTTCCGGTCGAGACAAACGACTCCTCCCGGACGAGGAGGTTTCTAAAGTCTGTTTTGCTCTCTTTTCCCAAAGAGGTGGTTTGTTTTTTGTTGTTCTCCCTGCAACTCGCAGCAACAGCTGGCAGCTGCAGTGCACGCGCCGAAGTTACACGCGCCGTCTGTTCGCTGCAACCGTAAACGCGAGCAATAAAATGTGTGATGCCGATGGTTCCCGCAAAGGTCTCTAGTCTGCAACTCGTGAAATTTAAAATGTTTGGTTTTATGCTCTAATATTCGCTCTTTTTGATGTACAGTAGACATTGGTTATTAATTAGTTGATAAGTTAAAAACTCAAGTTCATGTTAAATTTCAAATAATCGTTTTTAACCTTTATTTTTTGGTCACCTGAACTTATTTGTCTATATACGTTACCCAACTTCATAAATAACGAATTAATTTTGAACTATATACACGTACCGGGAAAGATTAATTTGACAGTATTTATTTTAATTTTTAACACGACATTATATTTACAATCTATACCCACATTATTTGAATAATAAAAATAATAATGATTGATTTTTACTCAATAATGTTTATGGTGTTCCGAATGTAAAATAACTTTAATTCGAAACTCCTATAATAAACACTCTCACATGTTTAACATTGATCGACCTTATTTTTAGAAAAAACACATATATATATATAAGTACAAGGTTTATGCTTTAAGAATTCGTACTATGACAATAACAATAAATTTTATAAAATATAAATAAACTTAAGGATCAATTTAACATGCAAGTTAATTATATTTTCAAATTAACTTTCAACTTATAAAAGCTATTATAAGTATGTGAAAAGGTGAAAATTACAGGTTTCTATGATCTCTACGATTATATTTTTAACTTAATTACAATAAAAAATCGAAATCATAAGTATAACAGAAACCATTATCGCGTAAATATATTCATGGTTTCCGACGTTTTTTTCTCTAGTTTTTTCAAATAACTGAGAAAAATATATAAGTAATATAATAAAACCGACCTCCTCGATGCACAAACTAGAAAAATTAATTTCCTAGTAATAACTGCCCTTAAAGTTGATAATCGGAACAAAATTTCCGGTAAGTTGCTATACCAGACACGCAGGAAAAAATCACGTCATATTACGCACAAAATCTTAAATGATAATAATATTAATATCGTCTATATACGTAAATCCTTTAGCGTATACCTACACAGTCTTACAGTCTTCCGTTTGACAAGGCGTTGGTTTATTTTTTTTTATTTCCGCTGCAGGTACTTCATCCAGAGTGGTATTAGATATCAGATATTACGACTCCCGGATTAAGTCGTTTAGATTGGTTTTTTTTTTTTACTCTTTTCGACGTTTTAATGCCGCGTCTACTGTTTGTAAGTATTTTATTATTGACTACGAAAATAATATAATTTATAACCTTTATATCTACATATCATAATACGATCGTCTTAAAACACAAAAATTATATAGGCTATGTACCTAGATATCTAGATACATATAATAAATACTTCACATTAAAAACTTTCATCGTAGCCATCAAAATTATAACGTATTCCGTATTAAAATTTATTAATATAATAATATACTACGTGGTAATCGTCGTCTTCGTCACGTGGACTGTTTTGTATATTATAATTATAATATTACGTGTTTTGTAGGTAGTATAAGTATTTCGTTGTATTCGTGTGCGTGTTGTAAATGTCACGTTTATTTGCCGAGCGATGTCCAAACAAAATGATTTAGTTCAAGTTTCCTATGTAATTAAAAATGTAAAAAAAAAACCGACAAACAGCACCACGAATTAGAATAAAGTGAATTACAGTACCTATCATTGTGGAAGCTACTTTTTTTTATATAAGTACATAAAATAAATGCACGCGTATCATACAATAATGATGTGCTGCGCGTTTTATTCCCATTCCAAAATGAGTGACTATTTATTTATTTTTTTTTTTTTTTATCGTTCATGAAATCTCTACTATAACATACACGAAACGATGAGTTCCATAACGATATCGTAAAATTCGTATAAAATATACAAGTCGCACATAAAAAAATAAAAAACTATAATGCGTGTAAAATATAGGTTTTTATCGTTTCAGCACTCGAGTAGTACCAGTGCTGAACTAGGATTATTATTATTATTATTGCTATAATAGCTGAACTATAAAGCAGCCGACAATATTATAAAATAAAACAAGTAAGTTAATAAAGTGGATTATATATACATAGAATAATTTAATACGTATATACCTTAACACGACGATAAATCATTTCTAACGAAAAACAATTCTGAGAAAGGTTCGGTTAAACACGATTTAACATGTCGTGATTTATACGATTTTCGTCAAAAATTAAAGTCAAAACGGGTTTAAAAAAAAAAGCCATACTACAATTTTTTTTTTCATTTCTCAGTACAATTTATGACGAACTTTGTAAAAAATTGCCAAGTAATTGTGTGAGGGTAAAACAATTTTATCTACATTAAAATTAAAAACTAGAAAATATCAAATGCCTACATATATAACTCTAACTCTACGATTATTTTTAACCAACCGAATAACCACAGAAAAACAAATGGAATATAGTGACATTGTTACTGTCGTAAATTTGTACATTTTCTCCAATTTTTCTCAATTAATTATGAAAAACTTCTTAAAAAACGACTTTCTCAATTTAACAACTAGATCTTAAATGCAACAAAAAAAATGTCTTTTATCTTTTTTTAATTGGAGTAAGATTCCTAGTATAAAAGTTACTCAAGGGAATAAAATGTTTAAACAATTATATCTTTTTTCTTGTATTTGTAATAGGCAACAAATAAAACTATCGTATAGTGCAAATTCTCTTTTTCGTATAGTGAAAATTTTATTTCCTATAATCGAAGTAAATTATACCTGCGTAAAACAGTTTCGCAGCCAAATTAAAACTTTAAATGGTGTTAAGATTCTGATCAAAACGAGGAATACATTTGTACTAGTTTTACCCTGTGATGTGATCATTTTTGTTTTTTTTTTGTTTTTGCTTATCTGATGTAATCAACTTTTCTACCAGAGTTCTTGCTCCGATTACCAACATAATATTATGATTATGTTAGATTAGGTTAGGATGGTTACTGATCAAATTTTTTGTATAGCTCAGTTTTTGATTAAGTGTTTGTAGGAATAATGTCGGAAAATCTCTGATCAAAACGAGGAATACATTTGTACTAGTTTTACCCTGTGATGTGTTCATTTTTTTTTTTTTTTTTTTTTTATAGACGTGGTACAATTTTCAAAATATTGTTGAAATTATTTATAGCTATTGGAAATGTTCGAGCTTTACGTGGATAAATATTTATTGATCTCAAATCTATGATAAAATTCGTTAAATCATAAACAACTGTAATTTATGTTGTAATGTAATTGCGTGAAATATTGAGCTCCGTCAAAATTATGTGTAGTATATAATATAATATCATATTTAGGTAGGTATTATACGCAAAATATATTCTATTTCGTTGTCTGTTCAATATTTTCCTGACATACTTACAACAAATGAGTAACAAAATATTCACTGCAGGCTTGGATTTCATTTTTCGTATTCGAATGACGTCAACGAAACGGCTGTCGTGTGATAATAGGTTATACGCGGAAATTTGCATTTTTATGATTTACGAGCCGTCAAATGTGTGAATACTGAATATATATTTAGGTTTTCGCAAAAATAGAGAAACTGCTTTAAAATCTACTAAACAACACTGCTCGCTCACTGTATATAATATGAATTATTTTCAACAACAACGTTACATAAATAAAAATAGTTTTTTTTTTTATGTTTAGTGGTATACAACGAAAATAAAACGATCGACTCGACGATAAATCTGTCTGACGCTGCGCGGGGTTATAACTCGAGTATGTAAATAGCTTTTTGTGATGTAAAAAAATTTAGTTCGTAAATTTAAAATTTAAATATTTAATTGATAATTATTTTGGTTTGCGCAAATTTTATATTAAATGATATTGCACTCACGTATAGTGTTCAGCGTAGTAATATTGAACTATCTGTATTCCTGCATTTTTCGACTTGTTCTACGGTGTTACCGATTACAACTCTTATGGTTCACAAAAAAAAGAACAAACATCATAGTAACAGCAATACATTTCACAGTATATGATCAGAATCTAAAAAAAAACCAAACATAATGTTATTAATTATTGTCGATAGTCGAGTACTGCACTCGTATACAGCGATTCCCTTATTATGAGAACGGGTGATTTTCCGGTAAGTTAATTTGATTTTTGTTTTTTTTTTTTACTTATTATGGAATCGTTTAAGTATTATTTCAACACTATTTTCAGTTATTTAAGGCAGTTATGAATTAATCATCTAAA